AAAGCAGCCGCATTTGCCGTTGGATTTAAAATCTTAATATAAGATTCCTTTAACAATACACAAACATGCATTTTGAGACTTATTTCATTGAAATCAACCAAAATTTGACCATTTTGGAAGCAAAACTTCAACGTTGAATTTTCATAATTTTATGGATTGGTCCACAAAATCGGGATAGGGGTGAACCTTCTTAATATACACAATGTACATCGTTTTGAATATCAATTTTCTTACAACATCCTCAAGAGATTGATTATGTGCACATTTTAAGAATAAATTTTAATAAATAGAATAAGATTTGGCGTAGTTTGAAGCTAAATTTTGACGTTGCATACTTGAAAATGTATTTATACTAAGAAATTACAGGTGAGGCGTTAAAATTGTTTTAATTTTACCATATAAAGTCTCGTTTTATAAAAAAAAATCATATTCAAATGTGACAACAATTTCATAACCCACATTCTACGATCATTTAATAAACATCTAGTGAGATTTACGATATAAAGAGGCGAAAATTCGGCGCATTTTATCTGAAATTCCAAATTGTTATTACGCCAGGCAGGGTAGGGGTTGGATTTTTTAAAAAAGCAGCCGTATTTGGTGTTGGATTTAAAATCATATTATAAAATTCCTTACACAATACACAAGCGTGCATTATGAGACAAATTTCATTGAAATCGACCAAAATTTGACCAATTTTTAAGTAAAATTTCAACGTTTAATTTTCAAAATTTTATGAATCGGGCCACAAAATCCGGATAGGGGTGAACTTTCTTAATATACGCAATGCACATCGTTTTGAATATTAAATAGTAGTCACGTGATCAACAACTATTCATATGACGTCACACATAAGTGTGACGTATTAATTTGTTCTCGACTTGAATGTTTATAAATAAAACATTGTACATGATTATGTTGTTGTTTTCACAGTGACGTATATTTACCAAAATTCCTTACAACATCCTCAAGAGAGTGTTCATGTGCACATTTTAAGACTAAAATTTGATAAATATAATGATTTGGCTTATTTTGTAGCTAAATTTGGACGTTGCATACATAAAAATGTATTTATTCCTGCAAATTACAGGTGAGACGGTATAATTATTTTAATTTTGCCATTCAAAGTCTTGTTTTATAATAAAATTTTATATTCTAATGTGAGAATAATGTACAAACGCACATTCTTCGACCATTTTATACACATCTAGTGAGAATTACGATATATACAGTCGAAAATTCGGCGCATTTTATATGAAATTCCAAATTGTTATTACGCCAGCCAGGGTAGGGGTTGAATTTTTATAAAAAGCAGTCGTATTTGGTGTTTGATTTATATTCATATTATAAAGTTCCTTAAACAATAGACAAACGTGCATTTTGAGGCCGATTTTATGGAAATCAACCAAAATTTGACCAATTTAGAAGCAAAACTTTAACGTTGAATTTTCATAATTTTATAAAACGGGCCATAAAATCGGTTAGGGGTGAACTATCTTAATATACGCAATGCACATCGTATTTATTAAATTCCTTACAACATCCTCAAGAGAGTGTTCATGTGCACATTTTAAGACTAATTAAAAAAAAAAATAGATTAAGATTTGACTTATTTTGAAGCTAATTTTGGACGTTCCATACATGAAAATGTATTTATACCTTCAAATTACAGGTGAGGCAGTAAAATTATTTTAATTTTGCCATTTAAAGCCTTGTTTTATAATAAATTTTCATATTTTAATGTGACAACAATGTCATAACGCATGTTCTACGATTATTTATGTAAAAATCGAGTGGTATTTACCTTATATAAAGGCAAAAAAAAATTTGATCTGACGCAAAGCAGGGTAGGGGTTAGCATTCTTTTAAAAGAAGCCGTATTTGCTGTTTGATTTAAAACCTTTTATAAGATTCCTTTAACAATACACTAACAAGCATTTTGAGACTAATTTCATTGAAATCGACCAAAATTTTACCATTTTGGAAGCAAAACTTCAGCCGTATTAATCTGAAACTCGAAACTTTTTTTTTTTTTGAAGAATCAGGGTAGGGGTTAGTTTTATACAGCAGCCGTAATATTTGTATAATATAAATGTGTTTCATACTGTTCCTTAAACAAAACCCGTTGAATTTAAAAGATTAAAATAATTGAAATCAAGCTCGAATCACCAAATAATGAGAAACATATTGTAACGCACATGCCGCCAGACAAAACCGTCTGGCCCCGTCTGTCCAAAAAACCTCCACTTAGTTAAAAATGTGTCGAGATAAATCCATGAAAAGCCATGACATGATAAAACTTGATTCTTTGCAAAATAATCGGTTTGATTAATTATTTTTCGGAAGATATTCGAAATAATTGAAAAATAAATTTTGTCTGCCAGTCTGTCAGCGTCTGTCGGTAAATTTATTAAAATTAACCTCTCTTATTTTTATAAATATCTGTTGAATTTTATCGAAAATTTGCAGAATAATTTGTAAATGATAGTCCTTTCATCCTGTCGAATTTTAGCAGAAATAAATAAATCGGGTCAGATTGCATCAAAAAAAGCGTTGCCTACTTTTTGTAGCCAAATCTGCCGACAGACAAAAAATACAAAACATGATATTTTTGTTAATATTGTTTGGACTTCCATAAAAAATTAGCAAAATTATTCTTTATGACCAAAATTTTATATAATCAAACTTTTATTACGATCTAAAATACAATTCACGCTGAAAAATCAAAAATATAAAATAAGTGTTTGCAGGCAATGCCTACCTTAATTGGATATACCTACAATGAACAAAAACTTCAAGACGCGAATTTTGAAAATTTTTAACCTGAGAAATTGCCTGAAACACGTTAAAAACGCAAAAATTCCCGTTTTTAAAGATTTTTCGCGTCTTGAGGTTTCATGATTTTGTGTTGAGGCAGACAGACAGACAGACAAACAGACAGACAGATAGACAGACGGATAAAGCGGGTCCGGGCTTTGGCTTGCCCGGCTATAGACTACACATGTATATTTAAAAGAAAATCAAATTAAAAATAATTAAAAAATATATAGAATTCTACCTATCAATGAAATTTTCAGTGTCAGTTCTAGTCGGGCGCCGCCATTTACAATGTAACTCAATGATAATAGGCGGGGTACTCCGATAACGGAACAAATCTCAACTTTTCGAATTGATAATAATCCCCGAGTGTTCCGAGTGAAAACGGAAGCGATGCATTAAATACCGAATGACACCTTTAAAACGGAAAGAATGAAACTAATTTTTTAACCACTTCCCCGTTCATGTAGGCTTTGCCTAATTTCATATTAGAACAAATACTCTAATGAAACTTTGTTTATTTGTAAAGTGGGGAAAATGTCCAATTCGATCCGAACAATAGACGGTAGTTAGTTTCTTATTCAGAGAAGCCTAAAGGGAGGCTACTCAAACCACATTCGTACAAATTATGATTCTATTATGATTTTTAAATGACGATTCTAATTATTCCATAAGTCTGAATAATAATAATATTACAATAAATATACATGTAGCTATCCTGAATTAAAGCAAAGTATTGGAATTACATTTTAATATGAAAAAGGCAAAGCCTCAAAGCGAGCTCGATTTCATTTTACCGTAAAATAGTTTAAAATAATCGTTCATTTTTATTTTACATTTTCCGTTTTAAAATTGTCATTTGATTTTTTATTCACTGCTTCCCTTTAATCTGGTTCCCCCTTTAATTATGGTTCCTATATAAGTGCGTAGGACACCAGTCTACGCTTCCGTTTTCAATCAGAGTATATCGGCTTTTATCGTTATCTTGTTATTCGAAAAGTTGCGATGTGTCAAATCGGTACTTCGAAACCATCACTTAGCAGGTACTCGCGTTACCGTAAAGCTCGCTATGCGAGCAGGCCCTTCGGGCCAGCTCGTCGAGCTCGCTACTAATCCAAGTTTATGTTTTCCTTGAATAAAAGTATAAGAATATATGTTTAGAAAATTGAGTACTTATAGCTTGAGTAAAGGTACTAACTACATGTATGCATGGTCACAAGTGAAAACACAAAATTCTGTGTCCCGGCTCGTGGAAATATGTGGCATTTAACATGTTTCGTGAAAATATATTCCATATTTCACTCAAACGAAAAAATAAATTTATCCTCTTAATATTACTTGCAAATCATACAGATAGAATTTCTTATTATTTCATACTGTTGGAGGTCACTTTGACTGACTTTTGTCTGTGAGTGATATAGGAGTGCTGATTTTATTTCACGAATAAAAATACAACAGCATTTCGCTGATAAGCACAAAATAAATGTTTTAATATTCAAGCATAGGAATTATAATTAATAGCCTACAATTATTTGAACATTTGAAACTTTTTTTTTATCATTTAGTTAGTTTTTTTAAAGCTGTGTGCCTCAAGATAAGCCAAAATATTTCAAGAAAATCACACTTGAGAAAAATATTCTAAGATCTTAAGAAAAGTAAAAAGATTCAAGATTCAAGTAAAAAATTACATGTTTTTTTTCAATTAATGAGTGATTTTTTGGTATTTTTAACCATATTTCTTCCGCGTGATTTACGAAGCATATAAAGACTATTTTTGCGTTTTCAATGTTTAAGTTACTTTCTTGGTTCACTTCTAAAATAAGTTTTAAAAATTGTTATGGAAGTTACTAGCTTGAATCTAGGAGAGATTCTGCTAAATTAACAACCTTAACCACAATTAAGTCTTCTTAAAACACAAGTGATAATAAGAATAACCGCATACATTTTGTGCTTGATGGGCAAGGTTTTATCTGAAAATATTTGTCATTCTATTAAGTTAGCGATTATTGTGATTGCGTTAAGGACGAATGAAACCACCACTGAACATTTCCGTTCCCTCTTATTCGTAATTATAGACATTTCCGTTCCCTCTTATTCGTAATTATATACACATTGCTGATCAAGAGAAACTTTAAAAAAAACAATAGATGACCCCAGGAAAGTATCTTCCTACGACACTTCATATTAAAAATACATGTAGAACTAGTGTTTCTCTAAACGAATTTAAAGTTTTATTATTCAATCATCATCTAGATACATGCCACAACAATGTCGTTCTCAACACAGGATCAGATATTATTATTTTTCATGGTTTTAATAGAATTATGCCAAGGTACGTTTGTCATTTACATAAATTGTTTTCTAACATAGAACTTATTATATGTATTATAACAATATAAGGACTATCATCATTTTTAATCAATATTTTTTTTTCATAATGGAATCTAAGATATACTTGTACAATGTTGGAGTAAAAGGAGATTCAAGAAAATATTTTGTGGTGATAACTATTGCCTCTGACACCTGCGCATAGTGCTTATCGTAAAGAAAGGGGGAGGGGGTACTTCTGGACCCCGACCACCGTTCGAGGATTTAGGGTCAAGAGTGCACCTGGCACGAATTGGGAAGCATATCGTCAAAAGAAGACCTTGCTCAGCTTTTGCTCTGGTTGGGTTCAGGTCCACGAGAGAGCGGTCAGAGACCGATCTAATTTCAAGTTTTGCAAAATAATTTTCTTACATTATGGTAACAATTCTTTACTAGGTTACTGGTTATGCATGCAGACGCTTTCATTATGCATACTTTGAATTGAATAGATCATACTACTTTGGAATTTGGTATATCTAGTATATCTATGAGTTTAAAATAGAAAATCCATGCCACTCTTAATAAATTTGTAAAGTATTGTGCAAGTAAGGGCGCTCTCCACTCCGTTTCGCAAGAGTAACCATTTTCTTGTTTCCTTAGCCTTTGTTTCATATATCCTTATTATATGCTATAATAACTATAGCATATTGTAACAAGGAAACACATATCTGTATTACTTATATAGAAATCATCTTAAATTGGCTAATACTAGGTAAATAAAAGATTTCATTCTGATAACTCTCTTGAACAGGACCTACACTTTCCATTATATCACAGTGATCCCCCTTACTCCACTTTCTGTGCCTCCATTCCGATCTTCTCTTTTTATTCATTTATTTCTTTTATTAGTTTTTTGTCTATTTATTCCTTTTTTCCCATGACGAGAAATTATTTAAATTTTATAAAGGTAAATGTATCTTACACATTTGCATGCTCAACTCCTCCTTATGATCCTTTACAAGTTATATCTTACGTAGTAGTTATTTATTATCTTGAATTAATGTATATTTAACTGTAATTATAAAAGCTATATTATGTTGTTACTAAAATAACTTGTTGAAATGTTTTTACAGGAGAGAGTTTCATATATAAATTTAATTTTTCTACTCATTCCTGATTGGAATTTTATTTGAAAATATGAAAGAAGAAATAAAAGTTGTTTAAACGAAAGAAAATATTTGTGCAAATTAAATTTGAAATATTTTAGATAATTTCTGTATAGAATATCCGACAGAAAATAATCATGTAGGCTAATAACAAAAATAATTAACGATGTGATTCTTATTTTTCAAATATAAAAGAAAGTTATAGAATAGTAATGAACAAGTGCGCGATTAGCGACTTGATATAGGAATTGTAGTATATCACAAGAGACACAAAAATAATTACCTGATGCTCCGAGGATGCACTATAAATAGAGATGACCACTGGTATCATGATACAGTATTCCTCGTTACATATTACTTGGCATATAACATGATAACATATAAGGTAACACTTGGCATATATCTTTTGGCTATCTCTTTTTTTGATGCGGAGGCTGACCTTGTTAATACATATAATAATACATAGTTGTTTAAGTGCAGTATTAATTTTTTATCTTTTTGTTGAAGAAAATAGCCAACAATGGCTTAAACCTCAAAATATACGGTACATTTTTATGAAGTGTAAAATTGTAATTAATCATTTTGGTTGCAGGCAACAGTCCAACAGAGGCTAGATCATACTATCGGGACCCTTTTGAATCCATGACAACGGAGCAATGGCAGTCCACGACTGAGAACAATCCAAATGGTAAGAAATCAAGAAAAGCAAGAATTATTGTAAAATTCATTTTGCGTCTTATTGTCCATATAAGGTTAATTCTCTCATTAACCATATAGCGTTCATTCTCTTGTTATCCATATAACGTTAATTCTCTTGTTAATTCTCTGATTAGCCATATAACGTTAATTTTCTTATTAGCCATATAACGTAAATTCTGAAATACGAATAACAAGCGCCTATAGTAAACCAATTTGTCAATATTCATGACAGACAATGCACCTTTTAGTTAAGCTTTACTTATTTTATGTAAATTGTGATGTAGAAATGTGTAGATTATCGTAACCAAATTTGAATCGTCTTCCCGAAACAAACCAGTATCGGTGTCATATGATAGCATGGTCGTGACCCCAGTAGGGTTTGAACCCACAATCCCTAGAGTAGAGAGGCCAATACCTTAACCACTAGAACAACTCTCCCGTTCTACATCTTTTAATGCAACTTGATAGTCTGTGACTGGGTAGCCGTTTCAGGAATAAAAATGTATTTTAAGATTAAATGATCTTAACGGACCAGATTTCTGTTGGTTGAGTTTTACGTCGCACAAACACAGTATGGTCATATGACAACTTACAGCTTTAGTGGTGGAAAAAGACCTCAAGTGCTCTGTCGGGATTCGTTCCACAGCGGTGAGGGACCAGATAAGTAACAACGCATGGATAAAATATAATACTTGATTGACAGAAGCGTGAGATTATAAATTTGTTAACCCTGGTTGATCTGTCGTCGAATGATTTAGGATGCATACTCCGCACCATTTCGTCTCAAAGCCATGGATTCGAATTCCGCAAGGGATTTTTGATTTCATTATGTAGGATGGAAATCCAGCAAGCTCAAAGAGGTTCTAAGTGGTTCTACTTAGGTGACCACACTTACAGGTGACCATTCTTGATCAAATTGTGTCCGTAGGGGTAAGTGGGTTTAAAGAAATGCGTTGGAATCGATTTGAAACTTTATAATTTATAAATCTCGGAAAAGCCTCATTAATGGTTATATTTTCATAAGCTAGGGGAAAGTTTCCAAAATTCATAACATTATAATAAAATTTAGTACATGCTATACATGTATGTAGATTTGGTTATCGGGTGTAAAGTGTAACACGTGATTATTCTCTCTCTCAATTTTACTATTTTTTCCTACCAAACAATTGGATTATTTTGGAATTATTGTAACAAAGTGGATATAAATAGCAGGCCTAATGTCTGAAAATATTAATCTGACAAAAACCCAAAGGAAAAAGCTAAAACAAGCAGAAAAAGGAAAGCTAGTGCCTCACCAGAGCCTAATTTAAACCCGTGCTCGCAAAGCATAAGGTGTAGTACACAAACTCATCACACGATCGGATTAAATAGTAGTATTGACTACGTGCAATCTATTATGAATCAAAACGGTGCTTCACCGATTTTAAACTTGGGTCCTGGACTTGGATTTACAAATATTGGGACTCCGACCCAGAGTGCGTCATCACCTATTTGGGCTCACTCCCTTATTGAAAGCGTGAAAATGATAATGAAGATGTTAAAATGATTTAAAAAAGAAACGCATTACTTAAATAAGACGAAATTGAAAAATCAGTGAAAACGACACAATTACAAATGAGTACTTTGGAATTAACAGTTAAAAACAAACCTAGAATCTTAAAGTACAGAGGCCGGAGAATTATTAGCATTTATTAATTCAGCCTTCGATAATCAGAAAAAGTGAACTACAGGAGTCAATGGAACAAGTTAATGCTCTACAAAACAAATTGCATTAATTTAGCAGAATATGATCACATACTCAAGAAACAAGCGGAAAATATACAAGATAAACTGCAAGAATTAGAGGCAAGATCAATGAGATCAAACCTATATTTTATGGGCTTAACGAACCAGAACCGGAAGATTGCGATTAACTTGTGAAGGACCTTTTCAAGGAAACCCTCGATCTGGAAGTAAATCATATGGTCTTTGATAGAGCACACAGACTATGAGAGATACGATCCAAACGACCACGACCAATCGTTGTGACATTCAAGGACTACGTAGATCGTGAAAAGGTCAGGCAAAAATTGTATGAGCATGACACGAGAATTAACCTTAAAGCGCACCAGCAAGGCATCGGCATCCAGACCCCAAACCTTACAGGGAAGTTAGAAGAGCATTTACATACTTTATAGCTAGTTGAAATATAGACGAAGGAACAGCAAGAATATCTGGAATTAAATTGTATATCACCAATAAAATCAGTAAGAAGTATTTAGACTGGAAAATACTGAATCATAACACATACTAGGAAAATCGTGAGAAGGATATCAATGATATTAAAATACTTTCATGGAATATTCATGGATAATCAAGAAAGATAATTGATATCGACTTTATTAACATTATCAACGATTATGTCTTGATTTTTCTTTCCGAAACTTGATTATCGAAAAATGTGCATTTAAATTTAGATATAATTGGAAATAAATTTATTCAGCTGCATTAAAATGGACATAAAGCCTGGAATGTTCGGGAAGACAGGTTCAGTGGTGGTATACAGTATCAATCTACTATAAACAATCCTTAAATAAGTATATAAACATTGTAGAAACTCATCAAAAATGGAAAAGTATGGATAGAACTTTTACAAAATTTAGTTGATTTCAACGATAATGTGTATTTATGCTGTACTTTTATGCCTAGAAATAGCCACTATCACTATCTCCTTTGTTCCAAAAATCAATATATCTAGATGCATTATATTGGGAAATAGGGAGATATCCAATGACAATACACCTTTAAATCATAATGTTTAGATACTGGATTTAAATACTTAAGTCACCTGATATCTCAATTCTTAAAAAAGTGTATAACATGCTTCAAAAAGATGCAAGGAAGGATTATCATACAGGGAAAGAAACTGGGCTTATCAAACGAAAAAGATATACTTAACCAAATAGGAATGTCTAACGTATAGCTGCAACAAGATAATTTAAATATTAATGACAAAGAATTTTAGATATCTACAAACAAAATTGGTTATTCAAACATTAACAATGTAACAGACTTTCGCCTTACAGTCATTTAAAACACGAATTTTAGTTCGAAAAGTATTTAAGCGTATAATTAAGATAGCCATAGGATTATTTTCACCAAATTTAGACTATCAGCTCATAGTCTGGATATAGAAAAAGGAAGGCACGATAATATTCCAAGAGAAAACAGAAAATGTCGAAATTGTCTATTAAATTTGGTAGAAACAGAATATCATTTCTCATTGATATGCCCAAAATATTACAATTTACGTAGAAAGTTTTTTTAAACAATATTTTTGTAGAATGCCTACAATGCAGAAATTCGAAATACTAATGGCAAGCACAAATACCAAAAACAAAAAATAATCTGGCAAGTTATCTGAACTATGCATTTAAAGAAAGGAAATAACTTTAGATTTTAATCTTTTAATATCCACTCTGTTTCCTAATGATGACTGGTAAAAGGGAGAAAACTACGACATTAAATGCTTAGTACTTATAACAGTTATTTCATCTAAGAAAAATTAATAATTGCCGTTTAGTTTGTAATAAGTGATATAATTCAACGTTAACAAATATCTTTCTACTTTGTTTCTTACATGTATAAGTATTTTTATGCAAACTGTCGTAGATATGTTATAACCTTTGTTTATACTTGTTTATAATACTTCCCGGCTAACTTATTGTAACTTATTACACTTGTTACACTTTACAACACACATTATCTGAATTGTATGACTATAAATTGTATGTATACACTTTAATGTTGAATAAAATATATGTAATGTTATGTTATATAAGAAGGAATTTGGATAAGAATGACTCAGTTTATAAAACATTAGTTAATCCTGAAAATATGCTGCAATGCTTAAAGCGACGATGGGCCCGATCCTATCAAGTTTTAACACCTATCGCATTTCTGAAATCAACGTTCCAGACGAATTTCTATTTTTCTAATAGTACATTAATATACAAGTTTACCGGTATTTACATAAATGATAGGTTTTTAAAAGTGAGTGAATTGGTTAGCTGTGACAACATTTTTGTATTTTTTTTTTAGATGTATAAGCATTTTTTTCGTTTTGGGCTAGATTCACTAATATACTTAATTGATGTATTTGAATATATGAATACTGTTGTTGTTTTTCATGATCTTAAGAGGTGACGACGTTTTTGGAGCTCATTTTTGGGCTGGCGTTTGCTGCGTTTCTAATAGCTGTTGTAATTGTCATCTGCAAAAAGCTGTGAGTGTAATTTTCAGCTGCATGGATATTTTCAAAATGCATGTTTGGTATTGAAATTACCATTCAATGGCCGGAAAAGATGATTTTATTATCGACTTATTATAAGCCCATATGCCCTTAGTTGCATACATATATATGGAAACTATAAAAATGGAGATTCCATAAGGATTTGTTTGCTGTTTTTTTGTGGTTGGGGGGATCGCAACAACATTGTACTGGTGATATTGTGACTTTTCATCTTTAATGTTGTAAAAAGACCTAAGGTGTCCCTCTGTGCATTGTTTCAGGCACGAGCGGTCACCTGAGTAGAACCACCAAGCTAGTTGGATAGCTTCCTCATATGAAAAATCCAAAGTTCCTGGTGGGATTTGAGCCCACAGCAGTGAGGGGCAAGTGGTTTGAAATCAACGATCTTAAACGGGCTAAATTCTGGATCAGCAACCTACTGTATATGACATAAAACACCAAACCACTTTAAATCTGGGACAAACCTGTCTGCTGGCTTGCAACTTTAAAAACAACAGTTTAAGGATTCGGATATAAATCTTTGTTAAACTCTACAGATGCAATAAATACATTGAAATTTGAACAATTGATGACTTGCATTAAATTGAGCAAATTTTTTATACAGTGAGCCTGGTCTTAATATGTACCAGGGGATATATAATAAACTAGGTCAAATAGTCATATAAATGTATTAAATGAGCAGAAAGCAGGTCAAATGTGATCGAATTAATATCTAGTCTAGATCTAAGTAGACGTTTCAAAAAGAAAAATAATGGAAACATGAAAAAAGATGAAACATAAGGTTTATTTTTCTTTAAAGAATGCCAGGGTTATCACACCACATCAGGGTCATATGTATGAGGACTGAACAGATGTCATGTTGACCCTCTTAAATCGAACTTCATTTCCGTACATTGTCTTCAATTGTTCTTTATATACTTTTTATCTCCTTTGTTGTCTACAGGATGAGAAATCCAGAAATACGAAGAATGATAGATCAATTTAAGACTGAAATGGAATTTACACCGGTTAATACTACTGAGAGATATCCTCCAGTACCAGGGAACAGCGTTAAAGAACACAATAATCATTTTCAAATGCAAGGACAACATAACTATCCAACGGCCATAAACCACTTAGAAATGCACGGACACCAAAACTACCCAACGACCATAAATCACTTAGAAATGCCAGGGCGACAAAACTATCCAACAGGGATCAACCATGTTGAAATGTCAGGGCGACAAAACTATACAACACAAATTAGCTATGCTGAAAACCAAAGCCGACAGAACATAAACACACCTTTTAAACAGGTCGAAATTTCTAGTCAAATTAACTGTTCAGCAACAAAAAACGATGTTACAACTGCTGCCCGAAATAAGGATGTTGAAATACCGGATCAAAAGAAAGAAGTTGAAATCCAGGTCCAAAACAACACTGTTGACCTTCATAGCCGAGATAATGTTATTACATTTAATGAAGATTTGAATGAGTCTGACCGATACAATGACAGGGAAATCTCGGGCCGACGAAAAGTTTTAACACAAAACAGCGACGGTGAAATACGCGGCCTGCACAAAGTATCAACACAGAACAGCGACGGTGAAATACCTGGTCGACACAAAAAATCAACGCAGGTGGAAATCGAAATGTCAGAACTCTGAAACGGATGTGCATGTAGTGTTTCAAAGGTATTACGATTTGGGAAATTATTTTGTAAGTAAAGCTTGCAAATTTTAAATATTATTTTTAATGTTCGGAAATACTAGTGAATATTCATTAATGAATTGAACGATTCTTGACTTGAAATTTAACTCATTAATGAAAAAAATATGAAGGGGAATGTTTTTCGTTATTCGAAATAATATTTCGTTTTTACGATTTAATATTTCGTAATTAGGTAAAAAAAATTGTGGAAAATGTCACCTTAGGGGCTCCGTAGATGATCATACAATGTATAACATTCTCTAAAATGATTATTTATACGATATAAAGGTGATAAACATAAACATTCTCTAAAATCGTTAATTAAATATATTTGATTCTGAGACATAATGTCTCTTTAATCTATTCCCTCGTAAACTATAAAAAGTAGGGGCCAATCAAAAAGGAGTCACTTTAAGAGGAATAAGTGGCGCGTTGTATTCACATTCAAACGGTCTTTAATTTTAGTCAATAGAACAGTGTTACATGTAGTTCCATCTAGTAGTTTAAACGTCACTTGTTTTCATAGATCTTGTAGTTTAACCATCATGTGTTTCTACATCTTCAGCTTATATATCTATGAAAATTGTTCATTCTCCTTTGCAAGTTTTAGAATATCATGTAATAAAAAACATCCAAGATTTATTTCATTATAAGTAAAAGTCCCATTTTAAAAACCTTGTTGTTTTCAATTCATGTAAATATTTGGGTTTTACTGTATTGTTATATATTATGCTCTTCAATTATTAGAGGAAATAAAAACATATTGATAACATATATTCAACTTCCCTGAAATATAGTTTAAAATGAAGAGAGTTGTTTTGTTTGTTTGTTTGTTTGTTTGTGTTCTTGGAGAATTGCATTCTGTGTTTAGTCATGTCATTTCCGTCGCAATGTAAACCCTGCACCTGTTGGAACTAAGAGTAAATAAACCTTCATTCAGCCAGCCTGATCATATTCTGTACAAATGTTTGTAATTTCATATTGAAACCCCCATAAACTTTGAATGAACTGTTCCAAAACAGAGCAATTTAGCATTTTCACATCCGTATACTAGATATATCATATAACACTTAACAATATCATTAAGGAACAGTTAAAAACGGAAATTAATAAATACAATAGCTTATCAGAATTATTTAAATTTCCCTTTTCACAGACAACCATCGTTTAATACAATATAAAATATAAGTGTATGAAACGATAAGAAAACAAAAAAAATCACGAGTATATGATTTGATTAAAGAACTTTAGTCATCTGTTAGTTGCTTAAAAATCAAGCATAAAAACATAAAACTAGTTTTTAAGTAGTCAAATGTTGTTAAAGGACATAAATACAAAGGCTTCCAATTTCGAAATTCATAAATAATAGATCAACGATAACTGCGCATACGAAAATGGAATTTTTAATTTCGTGCGAAGATAGCCCCGAAATTGGTCGACAGTCTCTCAACATCCGAAACAAGTACGATTCCTACCGAAGGTCATGCGATGGCATCCGATACATACACGAAGTCATCTCAATGATGCAATTTTGTACCAAGAAGTTTACCAGCAGGACACGCGAAGGTCTCAGGATAGGTAAACGACGTCGTATTTTGAGTATGATGCCTTCGTACGTGGTTACGAAGGCGTCAACTGACCTTCACCTTCGGGTGGTATACAACCCACGGCCAACCACGGCAAATTTCAGTTGCAGATAGTATTGGGAGCTACTTAAACTATGTTTAAACTTTATTTTTGCTCTTCATATTACTATCAAAACACTTCTATTCACACAAAAATCTATGATAAAAGTGATTACTTTGATTATGGTATAGTAAACTATCCACATTTAGATGGAAACGTACCGCATGCAACATCTGGCGGGGTATATGTATCTCAGTAAATTAGATTCGCTAGAGCTTTTAGCAACGTGTAGGATTTTAACAAGCCAAATATTTTCATTACTAGCAATCTTCTCAAACAGGGCTACCGCTATTATAAATAACGTAAATATTTTACAATCGTAACTTTGATTTAATCTCAAAATTCAGTAGCGATTCAAACATAATTTTAATGGAGATGTTATTTACAAAATTCGCAAGATCTTTGGTCATTGTAATATTTTCGTTGCCTTTACTAAAATTATTAAACGTTTAACCAAAAGAGGTTTTGACCCTACTTTATTTTTAGATATACTGCATACTTAGTGTTCAACACTTAAACAGTTGGTCCTTTCCTCTTTTGATTACATCTGACGGACCAAGTGGGATACTCTATGATGGACAGTTCTTTATGCCCTTTGGGACTGAATTGCCTTAATGTTCATCTTCTGTCTCGCTTCGTCTGGCCCTTGTAGGTGATTTTTTGTTACTCTGTCTTCCTTTAAAATATTGAGCACATTTGTTATGGTCAAATGGGTATTCCTCTATATGTATCTACATGATCATTTCGGTGTTTTACTTATTTAACCTTTTGAAACCATAACAATTGTTTTAAATTTACTTGGCGGAGATTTATTTTATTTACACCGTCTCGTTTATAGGAACATGGTGGGCTAAGAGTGAGGTTTGGTGCACCATTCACCGGTTTAAACTCCCCAGTAGTACTTATGTACTCTTTGTTATTTCATACTGTTTTGGTGACACTTTTGTCGGTGTCCCTGTTGTTTTCTCGTCTACGGTAAGTATTTTCCCTTTTGCCTCTAGTTTTATTTATTTAATAAGTCAATCCTTAATTTGTTTTCTTTGATTTCCTTGTTGTTTACCATTATTTCGTCTTATGTATCATTTAAGTGATAAGCCTATCCGTTCTCTCTCTTGCGCCCTGTCCGATTTTCTTGGGGTCCTCTTGTGTTACTTGGTTCTTGTTGCTGGGTCGTGTTGGGGTTGCGTTCATTTAACGCTGCGTATCCTTGTTGATCTTGTTTATCATATTTGATAAAATTTTATCATGCCACCCAAGGTGGGCCTGTTGGCCTCATCATGTTGTCTAAGGGGTCTTTAAAGTAGCAATGATGCTGCCTTCTTTTTCTCGGTTGACTCATCATCAAAGCATGTAATTCTGCAGGAAATAAGCTGAAAATAATTGTAAATTAATTGCAAATAATGGAGACTTTTGATGTCTCTGTAGAAATGTGCAAGAGTGACAGATGAGGTAGATGGTCGAGCCGTTTATATGTCCACCATGATAAACATGCAACGCTTGAGCCACTAAAAATTGCCTTCTTCGTCCTCATCGTGGTCCCATCTCGATGACATCATACCAAAATACGATGGTGACACGACGGTATTGCGGTTGCTTCACGTAGTCGTGTTCCCTTTTTAAGACTATCGGGAATATTCGTGTTTATTTCGTGTTGTCTTCTTGAGGCAAAAAATGCCAGATTGCACCGATGATCACACGAAGAAAAGACGAAGACAACACGATTTGACAAGTTGGCTTCACGACGGCCTTACGAAGGGCAAAATTGACATACGAATTCAACACGAAAATGAACCTTCGCAATGTCTTCGGACAATTTTTTGGCATGGCAAACATTTTGGAACTGCTCACGAAGTTGCTGCCGGAGCTTGTAATATTCAGCCGGGGATCATACGATGACAAAAGATGCCTTCACGAATGGCACGATGTTATTGCGATCAGATCCGAATTTGAACATTTCCTTATTCGTGTGTCCATCTTATGCCAAATTCGGGACAGTGTGACGCCTGCATAACAGTACGACAATACGATGGTAACAATACGACAGTACGATGGTAACAATACGACAGTACGATGGTGACAGCACGACAGTACGATGGTATCAGTACGACAGTACGATGGTAACAGTACGACAATACGATGGTAACAATACGACAGTACGATGGTGACAGCACGACATTACGATGGTAACAGTACGACAGTACGATGGTGACAATTTCACTGCAAAAACCAAACAAATAAATTGAAATAAACACGCTTGGTAAACGTTTCAGTTAGCAGACAATAATTACTGATCCGTTTATATCTTGAAATATTCCGTAAATAGAATATACATGTTTTGCTAACACGAATTTAGGCAAAGAAGTCACAATAAAATTGCAAGAGAAAATGTTATTTTACTGCATTTAATTAGATCAATAATAAATTCCATACAAGAAACGTTTATATTTGGTAAGGTTTAGATTAAAATACGTAAACGTTAAAATATTTAAGAATAACATAAAACAAACATTTAAACGTACATGTTCCCGGGAAAAAAACGCCCACTTAAAATGAGAAGAATATACACCAAATCGTTTTTCCTGAAAAATATACTGTATGTCTGTCGTAAATCGTAGCATGCCTCGCTTAATTAAAATGCACGAAATTGAGAGAAAAAAGTTACACAAAACCAACTATTACTGCATGGCATGTTAACAAAAGTGGTTCTCTGACAAACTTTGAGCAAACTTCTAAATCAAACAATTACAGAAATGCTTCGAAGGAGACAGTATCGTTATTACATTATTTTTTTTTTTGCAAATTCCTGTATGATCATTTTTGTGTATTTATTAACAATATGCTGTCTGGAGACATATTTATATGAGGGTTCTCAACGTGTTATTTTTTTTTTTCTTAATTTCTATATATGCTTAAAGACTTAATTTATATAGTTTTAAGGAGGGGTCCATGGCGGAGTGGTTAATGTCGATGACTTCAAACCACTTGACCCTCACCGTTGCGGGTTCGAATCATTTTAGGAACTATGGAGTCTTTCGTGTATGTGAGGAAGCTATCCAAATAGCTAACGGAACGTTGTTACTCAGGTGCCCGTTCGTGCCTGAAATAATGCAAGGGGGCAGACATGAGGTTTTCTTCCAACAGTTAAGCTTTATACATGACCTGTATATACATTTTTTATTATTTCCTTTTAAACAAATGAGGAAAGTGTGCAAAAGTACGCGACAAAGTTCAAACAAATATATGTTGAAATAAGAAATATTAACATAACCATTCTTAGCAATGGTGTTCGTTGTAACAACAATATTACATTCAATGAACGCAAATCCAAATAAATTCCAGCAGCACCTAACCATTGACACGGAACGGATAAACACGGATTATGGTACAAGTACAAATCAAGGAAGAGATGTTGTTGTTGTTGAAAAGCTAAAAAATACGTATTGTTTCTTAAACCATGTCATGCAAAACATCTCTCGCGTACATGAATGTATAAAACAACAAATTGCTGGGTGTGTAGCGTAGTAAACATTTAGATTTTTTTATTGTTTCAATAACTCAATATGTAATGCATTGATCATGTTAAAATAATCTAGATATATATTTATTCTCAGACATTGGCGAATGATGGCTAAATCTTATTGCAGTTTTAGAATGAATATATAAAAGCAATTGAACATTGATATTAATTTTCAAAATTTTTAGTTATTATGAATCGTGTGTGTAAAATTGAACAACTTTTATGAAAAGAGAAAAAATATGAATCTATCTTCTTGAGAGTAAAAGAAACAACAACAACGAAACATACATGTAGTTGATTAACTGGTTGTGTTGAAGCCAAAATGTAAGATGGCACAAATAAATTCTTTATTTTATAAACACAGATAAATTAAGTAAAAAAAAAGTATCTTTGACGATGCCAATAATCGTATGTACCGAACATGAAATAATCTTGAGGAAATAATCTTAAAATTAACTTTCACGAAAACAGGAAAACGAAAGTTATAGTAAGTAAGTAAGTAAACAGAACATAGTGCCAGTCCTTGATGACTCAATATAA